CCCCCCCACTGTACATGCACATACATTTCTACAATTTGACCACCAAAGGTCTCCCTGCACCATGGTCTGGAAGCTAACAAATGTGATCCAGCCCAAGAGTAAAGGGACTTAAAAGGACTTCACTTGTAGTTGCTGCTATAGGTAAAGGTGAGACTGTGATGAGATTGGGACTGGGACTTGGAGCAGAAAATCTATTTCTTCCAAGCACCAGGGTCAAAGAGCTGGGACCAGCCTGTACAAAGAGACTGGGACAAGAAATCAAAGAGTGCACTATGGAAAGGAGACTGAGGTAGGATGAGAAGTTGCAGTGGGAGACCAGAAGCCACTGGAGAGAGTGGTGAGATCAAAAGGACTCAACTGGGGAGAGTTCACTGTCGTCCAGTGTGAGCAGCAGAGATGAGGACTGCATAAATGAGGACTAAGGGAAGGAATAGGCTAGAAGTAACAGCACAGAAGGGGCTAGATGTGGAAGGGAAGAGCCAGAATGTTCTGGGTCCATGGGCACATGGAAAGTTTCTAGACTCTCAGGTCTTGCTATTCCTCTGCTTGTAACCAGTAGGTGCAGTGGGAAGAGGAGAAGGGGGTAAAGATTCTAGACATGCCCTGTTCACCCTTACTCTCAGCATCCACTTTCCACCATTTTGAGGAAGCATACTGGGCTAGATGGATCTCTGGCTTGACCTAGTAAGTGGCAGTTCTTATACAGCTCTGACCTACTAGAAAACATGGAAGTCTTCAAGAGCTGGCCCATGGGGAGCTGTAAGCCTTATCAAGTACCCTATTAGCACGAGTGAATATAAAGGTTCTACCACTCTGGGTAAATCATTTGAATATCAATGCAATGTTGCACACAGAATTTTGTTTCTTTACTTTGCTTTTTAAAATACCTAGAAAGTCCCACACACCCCCTACCCCAGCTACACAAAATAATCTAATAGGTAATTCACAAAGTCAAGCATTGACAGTTATGAAATGTCAAAATTAAAGATGCCTTTGCAGCCATTTTTAGTCTTTTACATTCACACTGTTACCCTCAATAATTAAATGACTGCATTTTACTTATTTCCATAGGAACCCTTCCTCTTTCAGTGTCCAGTGTGAACAGGTCATGGACATGACTTGGGACTGTTTGAGGATGGAAGCTGTTGGCTGTAAGACCCGTACCTTTGACTACAGAAGGGAAAAGTGTGCAGAGAAGGAGACAGGGAGTGCAGGAAGAGAAGAGATGGCCTGTTGGTTAAGGCAGTTGAATAGCAAACTAGATTCTGTCCCCGTTTCTGCCACAGTTCCTGTATGATGCTTGACAAGTTGCTTAAGCCACGAACTTTTTACATATGATCAGTACTGGCATGATTTGTTTTCTGGGTACTCAACATGAGCCTTAGGAGTCTAATTAAACAGTTGCAGCTACACGTGAAGTTAATGGATGCTGTGTACAAAACACAAATGATGTGATATAATTCTAAATATATTGAAAAGTCAGGTCCTAGTTATTCAAAGTGATCACCACAAATCAGTGGATATTGTTAATGTTTGCCCTGATTCCTCATGTAAAATGGGAATACTATCCCATTCCTCACTTCAAAGGTGACAAGAAAATTTTCATGCTCAAGAAGACCCGAATACTAATCATGGGTGCCCAGAAATACCTCCAAAGAAATTTTCAATTCCATCTCCATGCAGGGTATAACCAGTATTAAGCAAATAAGACAGGGCTAGGCACTGAATAATAAAAACAGCTATGCATTAAATGCTCATCATTTTGTGTACTGAACAAGGAAGGGGGCCTGTGGAAAAAGATCATATAATAAAAGACTATCACAATGCATGGGCACAAAAGGGGGACAAATTAATGTTGCACAGACAACGTGAATTCTAGCATTTTCTGACTTTTGAGGGGTTGACATTGCAACATACTTCTAATAGGGCTTCTGTGCATCTGAATACCTGTAGCATACCAGGGCGAAAGGAACCTGCATTTTCACATCTATGTTCAAGGAATGATGTGTTAACCCAAGACCTCCTTGAATTCCATACCTTGATTATTTCCACCAACTGATCCACACCACTGTCACCTGGAAAGATTGGCTGTCCTAGTAACAGTTCAGCCAATACACAGCCTGCTGACCACACATCTGAAAAGAAAAGGGAGGAAAAAAAAACTGGTTTCAGAAGTAGGCTTGTACATGAGGTTAGTTACAAAACATAAAATCCAACACATTTTATTTCTCTCTCCCTCAAAGTGTTTGCTGATGTGCAGTACATATAAAATAAATAAAGACCATTAGTCTCCCAGGTCGTGCAAATCTAAGAGCATGTCACCATAGTGAAAAGCAGTCCTGCACAGGGGTACACGAGCAAGCTTGAACACCTCTACAGTGTGTTGCAATTATGCCATCTAGACACACCCTAAGCACTACTATAAGAACCAAAGATATTATATGTCTAATATCACCCCCATTTAAAAATATTAGAACAGGCACAAACGTGGACCTGATACAAAAACATACACACACGAAAGGATCAAAATCATCAACTGAAATTATTCGATATCCTGTCCTGTTTTATAACATGACTAAAGAAATGTGTATCTGTGGGACAAGTAAAGACATTTCTATTGTGGAATACAGGGCGTTTGATGTCTTTTTATCCACTGGTACAGACTCAGTGATGATCAACGCATGTATAAACATTTACATATACTAAAAAGATGAATCAGACTTTCAATTACTACTGACATTAAATAACAGGAAATGTTGTTGCATAATAGCAGCAGAATTGGCCTGTTCTATCATGTAAAAACAGCTCAAAATTTGACCTACTTTGAACGGTTAAAGTTAACAATCAGTGCAGCAAAAAGTAGGTAATGCACTATAAAATTCCTACCATCACTTACTGCTTGTTAACTTCCTGGTGCAGCAAACCCCTAACATTCATATATTGGCAACTTTCACTCTCAAAGCGATTTACAATTATTACATGAAATATTCAGATAAGAAATCTCTATATTCTAAAAGCCCCTTCAAATATATGCCTCTTCAACTTAAGCATTTTAAATCATCACAATTGTTAAAAAGAATACAAGACAACATGATTTCTATTTGTCTCTACTCTGGAGCTGAAATTCACCATTCAAAAGGAGTCACTCAAACTGCATTGACACTGATGCACCTGCACAGAGAGAGAAAGCAAACAGGAAACCCCTGCAATTATGAACTAAAGCAAAAAAAGCTGTGGTCTTGAAATTTAGGGGTAAAGTGATGACAGGAACATCACAAAGAACAGAACAATAGGGAAAAGTTTAATTTTAAGTCTCTAAAAAAAAATGGGGATTACAAAAAAAAATTGGAAAAAGTATCTCCAGTCCTCCAGTATCTTACTAGAAGTGCACCAATATATCAGTCCATATTGGACTGGCACTGATAAAAGGAAAACTGACATTATCAACAATCACCTTTTTTGACTGGTGTAGCGATAAGGTCACCAGTAAATGCTGGATTCATGCGCACATGCGCAGCGTTTACACAGCCAGTAATGCTGCCAGTCAGCTTGGAGAGCAGCATCTGGTCAGTAAGTCTGTGTGGGAGGCTGAAGGGAGGGGTCATGAGAGGTTGTAGCTGTGTAGAGGTTATAGGGTATGTTGGGGTGTATGTATATGTCGATGGGAATTGTGGAGGCAGGATGTGGGTGTGGGATGCAAGGGAAGGTGGGGGCTATTGGAACCCCCAGACATTCCCTCCATGGTGTGAAGTCCCAGCTGCTGGCAGCAGCAGCAGGCAGGGGGTTAGGGTGCTCTTGCCTGGTGC